TAAAAGTGCAATAGTTGTAAAAACTTGGATGAGAAAATTGATAATGCAATTCATTTTGTAAACTTTAAAGTTGATAATGGTCGAAGATTTGATTTCATAAAAATCAAAACGCGTATTAATCAAGCTTAAATATATTGATATGTTAACAAATCACGTGTACAAACTGTTTCATGATAAAATTTAATTTATTTTTCAGATTTGCTAAGCAGGTAGAACCCTCTTAATAAAAATGGTTCTACAATACTACGTCAACAAGACAGTCTAAAACACATTTCGAGATTTCCTTTCACAGAAACTTAGCAATCAAACACTAAAAATCAGCCTAAAGACGCGTTACTACTCACAATAATCATCTCTTTTAAACGCTTTAGTACCAGCCTCCTCAACGGTTGAAATCTCCGCAGACAATTACTCCATTGATCGTAAATACTGGTATAGTTTATCAGCATTTAATTGAATAATCTTCATAAAGGAAGCATGAAGTTTATGCGCAAAAATTTCTACATTAAACTGTGGCAAAATAGGAATAATTTTATTTCTATTTACTGGCGCTAAGCAGAAACTCGAATCAATGTGTCTAATAAATTTTATTAAAATACAGTGGATGTATTCAATATCATATCAAGCATTAATACAGCTTTTCACTTTCAAGCAAACGTCAGCTTTCCGTGTAATAACCATCACCAGTATCGTGATCCTTTTTAAGCGCGTGATATTTAATGATACCTGACGAAACTCACCTGACCTGACAAAACCATATAGTTTCGTCATTTCGTCAATGGCTAAAATAGTTTCGTCAGACGAATTTTTGCTGCCTATGTAAAATTTTAATATACCATGTAGATTATATGAAGAAGCTTTTATTCAAAACTAACATTAACATAATAGTCTATAATTAAATAAAGCTTCTTTAATAAATTGAATAAAATTGAATTATTAGAAGGTGAGTATAAAATTGACTTATAAACTTACAATAATTTATAATTAAATTAAGCTTTTCTAATCAATTATATATAAATTAAATTTTTAGCCAGTGAGTATAAAATTGATTTATAAATTGAAAACTTCATAATAATCTATAATTAAATAAAGCTTTTCTAATAAATTGAATCTAAATTAATTTATTAGACTGTGAGTATAAAATTAACTTATAAATTTAAAACTTTATAATAATTTATCATTAAATAAACGTTCAAATCAATCATATATAAAATGAATTATTAGTCGGTAAGTATAAAATAAATTTTTTAATTAAGATAATCTATAATTAATAAATTAAGCTTTTTAATCAATTTATTAGAAGGTGAGTATAAAATAATAAATTTAAAAATAAATTTAAAACTTTATAATAATTTAAAATTAAATTTTTAGTCGGTGAGTATAAAATTAATTTATAAATTGAAAACTTTATAATAGTCTATAATTAAATAAAGCTTTTCTAATTGAATCTAATTAAATTATTAGGAGGTGAGTATAAAATTGACTTATAAACTTAAAACTTTATAATAATAATAATTTATAATTAATTAGGCTTTTCTAATCAATTATATATATATTAAATTTTTCTCATAATTATTCAGATCAAAATGTTCCTCTACCCGGTGAGTATAAAATTGACTTATAAATTTAAAACTTTATAATACAGTCAACTCTCTCTAAATGCAAGTCAACGGGCCAGCAAAATAACTTGCATTTAGAGAGAACCTGCAATTAAAGAAAACTAAATTAATACATAATTAATTCTCTCTAAAAGCAAGTTTATAAGTTAAAAAATATCTTGCACTTAGAAAAAAACCTTTAGATAAATAAGTCAATTTAATTGGTTAATAAAATATCTTGCAATTAGAGAAAATAATTTTATATATGCTGGCTAAAAACATCTTGCACTTACAGAATAAAGAACTTGCATTTATATTATAAGTCCCAACATGGGACCAGTCTATTTAATTGCATTTAAAGAGAAGTTGCACTTAGAGAAAGTTGACTGTAATAATAATTTATAATTAATTAAGCTTTTCTAATCAATTATATATGAATTAAATCTTTCTTATAATCATTCAGATCAAAATGCTCCTCTACCTACAAGGGTAGAATCACCACCCAAAAAAATTTCGAAGATCATGTGATGTTGATCATTACATATAATTGTTTCATATCGTTATTACAAGTTCAGTGGACATTTAATATCTGTTATTTTTAATAATGAAGATGTTAAATATCCACTATGCTTGCATTGAGTATATATACGTATTTTAATTAATGTTACGTAAATCTCCTTTTTTCTTTTTTTCAATATTATGAAGTGTGATCGCTGTAAGCTTGACAAACCAAACGAAACTTTCGAAAGTCTAAAAACTAATAAACGTAAAAATGCTGATACACCTAAATTAACAACATGCATAGATTGTTATAACCAAATTTCTGCAAATAATAAATTAAAAAAGAGCGAACAAAAAAATAAATCTATAAAAGCAAATCAAGAAAATGCGATTGCACCAGAGGACCTTGTGGATTTTATTTTTAATACCCTTCCAGTGGATGATGATTCTGATGAACAACATATAGTTAACCTTATTTCAAAAGCAGATGGATTTTTCTGGATTTACCATAAATGTAGTATATTAAAAGATTCAATTTCATTCGTTTATTATTGCAACTGTCATGAGGAATTAAAAAATAAAAAGGCGCGAGTTGCTGATATTTCAAGTCGACATGACACAATGCCAAGAATTGTTTGATATTCCTGTGGTGGTACAATTCAAATTAATATATATCAAACTCACAATTTGGTGGCAATTAGTATTTATCATTATCTTCATCCACCACCCAAAGCAATGGAAGTTTCTTCACAAATCCGTGATTATATTATTAATCACAATCTCTTGACAGTACCACAGCTTTACAATAATATTAAAGATGAAAAAATTGATGGATTTTTACATATTACTCGGCAACAAGTTTATTATTGGTCTAAAAAATTCGCTACTAAGGAATATAAATTAGCAGAAGATCAATTGGAATCATCCAGACGATATTTAGAGCAGAATATAAGTTTTAAACTTCTTTATTATGATCAACATTCGTTGGCATTTTAACTCCATTGTTATTTATATTACCAAACAAAGCTACAAAAACTATTATTATCGATTCTACTTATGGGACAAATCGTTTAAAGTTTGAATTGTTTGCGGTTCTTGGAGTTGTAGATGGTGCTGGGTTTCTGCTCTCATATTTTTTTCTTAAACCAAAGCATCCATTTGGTAAAACACAAGCAATTACAAAATGGTTTAAAAATTTAAAAGAAAATGGGATTCAAAATACAGAAACTATTCTGATGGGTAAGGATCGTGGACAAATTACGGCTGCTAGCAAAGTTTGGACTAAGGCAAGAATCCAATTATGTTACTGGCATGTATTACGTACAATTAAAAAAAAACTTTCAAGTACCGGTATTGTACACAATCATTATAATTCATACGAGGCACATTTGCTTTGTTCCACAATTAATCCTGCATGGCAACCCGATCAAAACCAAGTATTTAAAGATCTTACAAATCAAGCAGATTCACATGATAATTATAAAAAACAGGTTTTTTGCCAAAAAAGTTTTCATGAAACAATTCTTCAAATGGTTCGCATTCATCTTTTATGGCATCCAATTATACCAATAGAGAGTTCAGGTTCATCAAATTTTTTAAATATGAACCAAATTTGAAACGAAAGTGTTAAAGAACAATACAATTATTGTTACAAAAATAATTTAAAACACATTTGGTGTTATTTGTGATCGGAGTGATACCACCCTGAAATGTGGAAACTATGGGCGCAGGCATCAAATCCAAAACTTAATGTTTTACGAAGTACAATGGCCATTGAAAGCCATTGGCGGGTCTTGAAGCATGATTTTTTTTCAAGTTATAATCATGCTCGACTTGATTTAATTATTTATATTATCATTATAAAGGTTATATCACATCAAATTGATCGGTTACAGTTATTTCGTGATAATCGGTGTATGCCAAAGTGGCGAGAAAATTTTCGACTTGAGTGGAAAAAATTGGCTACTAGACTAGCTAACCCTAAATCTACTCATTTTACTGATTCTTTATATTGGATCTGTTCATGTTATAGCTTTCTATTAAGTCGTTTTCATATATATAAACATCTGGTACAAATTTATGGTCCCGTTGAACCAGGATTTTTTCGAAAGGTATTATAAAAAATAATTACCTGTTTTATCTAATTTAAACTTTGTATTAAATTCATTAATTTTATTTATTTTAAGGTAATACAACAAGAATATTATCCTTTATTAGAAGTCAAAGAAGAGAACGCATTTGCTGACTTACCCGAAGATATTCGTACCTCTATTGAAAATTTGAATTCCTATACTTGTGAATTAATTACCACTAATGCTAGTCCACAAGATGATAATCAAGTTCATGAACAAGAATCTGTTATAATTAGTTCAAATGAATTCTCACTGGATTCTGTCGATGATAATAATCAAGATTTAATCTTGTTTGAAGCCCGAAAAAAAGATATTTTTAATTTGTTGGATGAAACCAAAAATATCCTTGAAAAAAATGTAACCAATCCAAACAAATGGTTAGATAGTATAGAAAAAAACTTTGAACCATTACGCAAATTTGTGGAGGATTGTAAACGATTTGAGAGACAAAATCATATTCTAAATACTTGGAAAAATCGTAATAATAATACTTTCTGGTTGTAATATTAAAATGCTTTATTTTAATTAAATAAATAATTCATATTATTGCTAATAACCTTGCATTTTATATGAATAGTTTTATTTTAATGCAAAAATATTAATATATTATAGATACACACACACAAATTTACTATATACGTATAAAAATTTGAAGTTTTGAATATAAACATAATATTAGAATCTTTAAAATTTTAAAGTTGGTTGGCTCCCAGGCAAATCAAAAACCAATATAAAGGAAATGTTAAGATATTTATAATTTAGTTTTTTGGTCTTAATTCACTTGGCTTCTGGTATAATTGCATTATTAATAACTTGTATAATGATAAAATCTCAAATAAAAAACGAATAGTAATAAATTGTGTGATGATTATGTATAACTTTGATACATAAAATGCAAAAATATTAAATATTAATATCTGATAATAATTTGTAAATGTAATATATTATTATTTTGGAGATTTTGAGATGTTTTCTTTGTATAAAAATTGTTTTTTTTTAAAAAAATTTTCTTTATCGTTTAAGTTATACGCATCCAATTAAAATGTTGATCATCGGCACGTGACTTTCGAAATTTTTTTGGGTGGTGATTTTACCCCCGTTCTCCTCTACCCGGTGAGTATAAAATTAATTTATAAATTGAAAACTTTATAAATGGTTGTACTAAATCGCACCAACACACAGTTATTATATGTACATGTCTTCTTAATTTTAAGCTTGGTTATATTATTTTTTATTTAATGCCAATTTTGGTTAAAACCGGTTTTGATTAAAATTCGCTCTCGATTTCTGTCGCTACGTATTCAATAACTGTGAGAACCGGAATTGAAATTTTGATTATATAATGTCAAAACTAGTAAACTTATTGGCCAAGTGACTTTTGCTTTCCGTACATCCTTGGAATCGAAATTACAGAATTATTTTAATTAAGATATGAATAAAACTGTTCCAAATGGTTCCAAACTGTTCCAAACGGTTTCACCTTTGTCATGCCCTGTTTATCATATGCTTGGTTAATTAAGATAGATGACTCTAACGCTAATCTTAAAATACAAGCAATTGCTACAGGCACAACATCACATGCTTATGGGCACTTCAACACTTCTAATTTACTAAGTTTATTTTGCAACTTAAGCTTCGTGGGATAACATTAAACGAAGTTTCTATTATTCTCATTTTTCAGAATTGACCGCAACATACAACCTTATTATTAAACTAATATTTACATTATTATTATTGCCTGAAGTGTAACTTAGGACGTTATGCTTTCAGGCATTTGGATCTGAACAATCACGAGATACACGTCTGTCACGCCCGCGTAATTAGCCAATCACAGATAAAAATTCAAATTCGTCTGATTGGTTGATGTAAATCAATTGTCCGGGTAACTATTACTTAATATAGCAATTAATAAAATTTATTCTGGGTTGCTGAACTTTAATTAGAGTACTTTTTTACATTAAAAATCAATTACCTAATCTTGAAATATATTTGTCGGCTTTAAAATATGTACTGTATGATGCATATTCCTGATTGGAAACCAGTTTATAAATATGTATCGATAACAAAAATCATGCAGTTTCATAATTTATCAATAATTTATATACATTACTTTTAAAACCGGAATTGAACTCGTATTAGAGATGTAGTTGCCCGGGAAATGGAATGGAAGACATTAAATAAATAAAGGTCAACAAAAGCCAACCATGGCTTTTGCTAATACAAAAAAAAAATTATGGAAATTATATTTCTCGATTTCAGCATCCCTGGATGCTGAAATAAGACACGTGACGATTGATGTGGTATATGGGAATAAATTAGTAATAGATCAGTGACGCATAAATTAGTTAAATAAATGATGCATTAATTAGAGCGGTGCATAAGAAATGTCGTAATAAGGTTTATAGAAAATGGCATGGTTAATAATTTAATTAGAGTCAAATGTGCATGATCTAAAAGTGGAAGCAAAAATTATAAAATTTTTAAATAAAGTGCTTTCTCTTCGTAAGTAATACACTTGAAATGTACTATTTAAGATACTTATTCTATTTGACCCTGTGGTGGTCAACATAATACAGTGTACTCAATATTTGAGTTG